TCCCTGCTCAGCGGGGAGTCTGCTTCTCCCTCTGACCCTCCTCCCTCTCATGCTCTCTGTCTTTCATTCTCTCTCTCTCAAATAAATAAATAAAAAATCTTTAAAAAAAAAAAAAGATAACTGGCAATCATTTGTAAATTTTTATCAATATACTTTAAACATAGTGGGGAATAGTTACTTTTTCTCCAACATAACAACATGTCCCCTTAAAAAAAAGGAAACACTAGGACAATAATAAAGTGAAAATAAAAGAAGTCTAAAAGGGTGATAAATCTTAAACCAGTTTTAAAAATGGCTTTAAATCTTTATATATAAAATCATAAAGGTCTAAAGAAATCACTTAAATTATAGAGCTTTATGACACATATTATAGTCGAATTATGGTAATGGCAATGCTCTCCTATCTTTCAAAGAGCAGGGGTGGAAAAGGTGAGTAGGGCTCGACAAAGTGAGCCCTAACACTGCCTTTTCTATACCAAAGGCTATCTAAGTTGAAGAGCAGAAAAATATAAGTAAACATTTTTATTTAACTATTTTAGGAATGTGACTATTATAAACATTCAAAAAAGTAAATTTTTCTTTCAGTTTCGGTATATGAGAGTGTATTATGAATAAATTTAGAAAAGAAGCCCAGTTTATTCATACTGAATATAAACACTGTTAAACACAACTAATTTTTTTTAAAAAATGCACAATAGTAGAATTTAACTTTTATAAGTGTCGTTATAAAATTAAAATTTCTCTCTCTTTCAACCCACTAAAAATCATTCAGAGAATATAAAATAAGTCAGTTATACCCTGTGGTGATCACAATAAATTAGGCATATCACAAAAACTGATATTCCTCTCTGCTAATGTGATTAAAATAATTGTTCTTTCTACTCTCCAGACACAGAATGTTAAGCCACACATCTAGTATTTCAGTATAAATATATAAAAAAGAAAAAATTTTGTTCTAACTTTTGGAAACTTTCATGGAAGCCATCTTTTAATTAAACATATTCTAGACCAATAAACAAGATCAAGAAACAAATAAATGACTTTGAACCATGTAACTTTACTAAGGGTGCAGAGTCTTATATGTAGTATAGCACATAAAACACAAAGTATCTTAACTGGGGACAGGGATTACTAACAGTGACTTAAGGTAACTGAAGTAAAGGGGCAGCACTGTGTTGAAAGAATCCAATACTGAACTGAACCTAAACATAAGCTGCCAAATGGAGAGAGAACACACAAGTGAAGCATCAAGTTTAATACCAGCTTCACTTGTATAATACTTAGTACACTTACGATGGCCACTGCCTACTTCATGGTTCAATATAACATTAAAAGATAAGAAAAACAGGGCGCCTGGGTGCCTCAGTTGGTTAAGCGACTGCCTTCGGCTCAGGTCATGATCCCAGGGTCCTGGGATCAAATCCCACATCGGGCTCCTGGCTCAGCGGGGTGCTTCTCCCTCTGACCCTCTCCCCTCTCATGTTGTTTCTCTCTCTCTCTCTCTCTCAAATAAATAAATAAATAAATAAAATCTTTAAAAAAAAATAAGAAAAACAGATATCCCAAGTTTTCCAATTATTAACACAAAACTCACAACTACAGGTTATTCTCAATGTTCTCACATTTGTGAGATAACCTGGCAATAAACAATGCTTCTTAAAAAATCCTGACTTAGACATCTGGGAAAACTATTTGGGGGGAAAAAAAAGGGATACAACCCACCTCATTTATCATTTCTATTTCTCTAAATGTCAATCTGTCCAGCCAATCTACTTTCACCATGTGCCCTTGTCGATGTGCTTTGGTGAGCTGCAGAACAAATATAATGAAGAAAATTTTAACACAGATTTCACAGAAAGGAGGATAAAAATGGTAATGACCATCAACATGATACTGGAAGTACTAACTAATACAATAAGACAATAAAAAGGAAATAAATGGTATACAAATGGTGAAGAAAGAAATAAAACTGTATTTATTTGCAGATGACACGATCATCTATGTAGATATAAACAAAGAAAGGTCAAAAACTCCAGGAACTAATAAGCAATTATGGCAAAGTTGTAGGATACAAGGTTAACAAAAGAAAGTCAATCTCTTTCCTATATACCAACAATAAACAAGTCAAATTTGAAATTAAAAACACAATACCATTTTACATTAGCACCCCAAAAATGAAACTGGTATGAATCTAACAAAACATGATCTATATGAAGAAAACTATAAAAATCTATGGAACAAAATCAAAGAACTAAATAAATGGAGAGATATTCTGTTCATGGATAGAAAGACTCAAAACAGTCAAGATGTCAGTACTTCCCAACTTGATCTATAGATTCAGTACAATCTCAGTCAGAATCCCAGCAAGACATTTTATAGATATCAACAAACTGATTCTAAAGTTAATATGGAGAGGCAAAAGACCAAAACTGCCAACACAGTATTGAAGAACAAAAAAATTGAAGGACTGACACTACCCAACTTCAAGACTTAATATGGAGTTACAATAATCAAGACAGTTTGGTTTTCGCAAAAGAATAAATAAACAAATCAATGGAGCAGAAGAGAAAACCCAGAAATAGATGCCATAAAAGGAGTCACCTGATCTTTGGCAAAGGAGCAGGGGCAATATAATGGAGCAAAGACTTTTCAACAATGGTTTTGGAACAAATGAGAGTTCCATATGAAAAAAAAAAAAAAGGAACTAGACAAGGAACTTACACACAAAAATTACATCAAATGGATCACCTAAACGTAAAATGCAAAATTATAAAACTCCTAGAAGATAACATAGGATAAAATCTAGATGAACTTGGGTATAGAGATGACTTTTTAAATGCAACACAAAGGCACAATCCATGAAAGAAATCATTGACAAGCTGGACTTCATTAGAATTAAAAACTTCTGCTCTGTGAAAGACACTATCAAGACACTACGCCACAGATCAGAAGAAAATATTTGCAAAAGACACACTTGATAAAGGACTGTTATCCAAAATACACAAAGAACACTTAAAATTCAATTAGAAATTAAGCAAGAAAAATGGCTAAGAAAAATGTGCCAAAGAACCTTAATGGACAGCTCATCAAAGAAGACACATAGATGGCAAATGAGCAATATGTCAAGGAAATGCAAATTAAAACAAGACACCACTAAATACCTATTAAAATGGCCAAAATCTGTAAACACCTACAACACCAAATACAGATGAGAATGTGGAGCAACAGGAAGTCTCATTCACTGCTGGGAATTCACTGCTACATTGGTAATGTAAAATAGAACAGCCACTTTGAAAGACAGTGTGGCATCTCCTTACAAATTAAATATACTCTTACCATACGATCCAAGAATTGCATTCCTTGGTATTCACCCAAATGAGCTGAAAACATGTCCACACAAAAGCCTGAACATGGATATTTATAGCAGATTTATTCAGAACCACCAGTACTTGCAAGAATTAAGATGTCCTTCATAGGTGAATAGACAAATGTGGTACATTCAGACAATGGAATATTATTCAGTGCTGAAAAGAAAGGAGCTATCAAACCATAAAAAGATATGGAGGAACGTAAAGTATATATTACTAAGTGAGAGAAGCCAACCTGGAAAAACCACATACTGTAGGATTCCAACTATATGACATTCTGGAAAAGATAAAAGTATGGAGACAATAAAAATATAATCGGTTGCCTGGGGTTAGCGGGGGGAAGAAGAATAAATAGGTGGCAGAAAACTTTTAGGGCAGTGAAGCTACCCTGTATAATACTATAATGATGGATAGGGGCACCTGGGTGGCTCAGTCAGTTAAGTGTCTGCCTTCAGCTCAGGTCATGATCCCTGGGTCCTGGGATCGAGCCCCGCATCCAGCTCCCTGCTCAGCGGGGAGCCTGCTTCTCCCTCTCCTCCCCCCTCGTGCTCGCTCTTCTCGCTCATGCTCTCTGTTGCTATCTTTGTCTCTCTCTCAAATAAATAAATAATCTAAAAAAAAAAAAAATACTATAATGATGGATAAGTGTCACTATATGTTTGTCCAAACCCAAAGAATGCACAACACCAAGAGTGAACCCTGGGGAAAACTATGAACTTTGGGTGACTATGATGTGTCAATGCAGATTCATCAGTTATAACAAATGTACCACTCTAGTGGGGGATGCTGATAATGGGGGACACTATGCAGGTATGGGGACAGACAGCATATGAGAACTCTCTGTACCTTCCTTTTTTTTTTTTTTTTTAAAGATTTTATTTATTTATTTGAGACAGAGAGAATGAGAGGGAGGAGGGTCAGAGGGAGAAGCAGACTCCCTGCTGA